GAATACTGCTGAGAACAAGGGGTTCAGTCAACACAACGTCCAAACAGAACAATAAACCAGTCCGGTAATCGGTTCAGCACAACCAATACAGACATTACAATCAGTCTGGCTGTAGTTCACACACTCTAACCATCCAACATCCAAACAAATAGCTCTATAATCAAGGCATGAACCCTATGCACCATTGGCCAAAGAAGGCTGAAACACAGTGAAACAAAAAAACACACCTGTTCAGCACTTGTACGAAGGTGCTAATATGAACTTGACTTCACAGCATCGAACAGAGGAGTTTGCACCAGCATCACCTTCTCCGACTAGGGTTTTCTTGCTGTTACAGCCAGGAAGAAGGAATCACAAAGCTGCCGCCAGAAACTACTAGGGTTTCCCAAAAAAAACTGCCGCCAGACACTGCTAGGGTTTCTGCAGAACCAGCCGCCAGAAACTGCTAGAGTTTCTGCAGAACCAGCCGCAAGAAACCTGCTAGGGTTTCTGCAGAAACAGCCACGTCCAAACACTTTTAAGAACAGGGCAGGAGGGATCGTAGGTCTTTTTCAACCCAGAGAACCTGCTCTGATACCATGTGGTGATTCATGGGGATTGGGAGAGAGAGAGAGAGGGAGAGAGAGGTACGATTGAGAGGAAAAAAGTCACTACTGGCAGCCACTAGTTTTCTATTTATATTAACTTCATAAAAGAGTCTGAATTTACAAGTGTGCCCCTGGCAGCATATCCTAGAAATAAAATAATAAGAAAAATTGAAAGAAGAAGAAAAAAACAAGTAACTGAAACTGTAACTGTAGCTAATAAATAAGCCTTACAACACTTACTACTTCAACCCATGTTCTTTTTAGTCTGCCCCTAGCCCTTCTAGACCCTTCAACTTGGAACAGATCACTTCCAATTTAACAGAATATATGGGCCTTGATAACAATAGTAGAACATGATAGTTGTATTTGATGACAAAGCTAGGTAATAAGGGTTCTTGATTAACTAAAAGTACTCAGGTGCAAATTTGCCCATTGACACAAGAAGTGAGGCTTGGGATTGATCCTATGACCTTATATTAGCAAAATATCATACTCAGCCTTCAAACAATTATAACAGTTGCAATACAAATTAAATAAGATTGCAAAGATAAGAAAGAGAAACAAAAAGAAGTCTACAACCTTCCGTAGTTTCCCTTCATCAAGAAGCTTTCTTCGAGAGCCTTGCAAAGTGGTATTTATTTTTGACTTTGGAGAGCTTTCACCGCCCAATATATTCAGGTTTGGCTGAACATTTCTGCACAAAGGTGGTGGAGCCACACCATATAACTGCAAGGAAGCAAGGGAGCAAGGGAGTTAGAGATCATCTTCCATCAGAAAAAAAAATTTGGATACTTGATCATTCCATGAGATGTAGTGCCTTCTAATAAATAGGTGCATAACTTAAAAAAGAAGCATGATATATTTAGAACGATAGTGCCATTAAAAGAAGATCTGAGAAACAATTTATGCATAAAATAAAAAAGTGCATTTATACAGACATGGTAGCATTTAAAAGTACCAGAATGTGATAGGAACAAATATAATACATAAGATACAAATGTTAGTAGGAGGAGATGGATCATAGTTGTTGCTCCAAGCCTTTGATATAGCTTATTTATAACCCTTATTGTACATTTTTTTGACATGTTGGAGGTGAGTTGGCAGCCCAAAATAAAGTCCACATACTCCTCAGGTTGCTACATTTCCATGTGGCAATTGAGTTAATGGTTGTGTTTCTCTTTTGTTCTGTTCTTCCTAACCAAAAAAGAGCCATAGTGATTTGACCCTTTTCTGAAGCCATCAGACAAGTCCTCAAAGGACTCTGCATATCAAGAATGAATGAACAGTGGGTTACCAGTTCTCATTGGCCCCTCAAAGTTATACTTGTATAATTCTAGTAGTTTCCACTTGTAAAGGGTTCATTTGCAGGATGAACAATATGTTTCCATGGATCCCTATATTAGCCAATTGGGAAGATTGTATATCGGAAATCATCTTTAATCACATTTTGTTTTACCTTGTATTTGAGCCCTCAAAGTTCTTTGTATTATTTTCTTATCAATACGTTCTCAGAATCTCAGTATCTATTTTCCTAACTTTATGCTTTAGCAAAATTTCTGATATAAATAAAGAAATGAGTTCATTACTCTCTTTTTTTATGGTACATGGCTACAACATGAAGGGCATACCCTGTATTTGAAATGTAAAATAAGCCCATCTCACTAAAGAGGACCTTTTTCATACTCCAGATCAAAAGCTCCCTCCATGAACCACTGGACAGACTTGACGCATGCAAACCAGGAAGTTCTACCAATTTTTTGCCTGGAAGATGTATACCACAAATGGATTTTAAAACAAATCTAAGAATATCCACTTGAAGTAGTTCCAGTTCATAAGGAAAGAAGGTGAAACTTCATATCTGAATCCTAAAGGATAGGAAGAAATTGTTCTTTGGTTATGAAAATATTGCTTTTGTTGAGGGTCCTACGCAAAACATGTTGCATTATATATGTTCACTGAATCATCCATGTTTCCAGTATTAAAGTTCACTGTGTGACATACATATTTGATGAAATACTTTAAAGACTACAGTTCTTTTTTTGTCAAAAGGAGTCTTTTTTCTTGTCTAAGGGCAATTTACATTTAGTTGTTTTTGTGCCATTCCCTAGTAGAGTGTTCTTCATATTTTCATTGTTGTGGGTTGACCTCTATTAAGTTGGTAGTATATTTTTGTGACTAGGAATATGCCAAGAGGTGGATTTGAGGATTAGTCATGTCTTAGGTAAGAACCATACCATGAATATAATCTAATCAATTAAAGATTTATTTTGCTGTGAATGAGAGCCAAATGTGTCTCCTTGAGTGCAATCAAGTTGATCAGATCCCTGTTGATGTAGTGTAATATTTAGTTGCTGACGTGCTGCCATGCTGGAATCTTCGAGTTGCCTTGTTTGAGAGGGAACCTCTGAAAGATCAGTTGGTCATACTGCTACTAAGGTTAGACCATTTGTTTCCAAGCAAGCTAACTAGTGCTAACTTAAGGGGGAGTGTTGGAGTATTGATATTGTAATGTTCATATTTACCAAAAAGTTTGTAATTTTCACGAGGAATGGGGTTATTTTAGGAAAAATTTATATTCAAAGATTCTAATGTAAAATCAGCCTCTTTTATTTGGGAAAACATAAAGTAATATCAGCCTCATTGGAGTCTTTTTTATAATTTTAAGTAGTTCTAATATTAACATAAAAGTCTCTCTCAGAAGATAGCGACATAGGCATGTGGATGTGGTATTGTAGCCCCAATATTTTCTTTTCTCTTCTATCTCCTTGTTATCTCTTCTCTTTCTCACCTTATTCATGACACAATAAAAAGATTATCCCTAAAGTTGCATAATGATCAAATCAGATCAAAGGAAGTCAGGTTTCACATGCCAGGGCAGCATATTTCTGGTCAAAAGTCAAAAGTTCAAATTTTTGCCAAGGGTTTTATTTTGAAATTCATGAATTTCAGAGAAGTTTTAGGGGGATTTGGTTCTACTTTGCTTTTCTTGGTATGGTAATATTTTTCTTCCTTTTAATTTTATAATAGGTCCAAAGAAGGTCACACTGGCTATTTTTAAATATAATACTTCAATTGTATTAGTCTTGCACCTAATAATAGCTTGGGTAGTAGCAAAAGAAAAGGGTTAAGTTTATTAATTACTTTTATGTGGCAATGTTAATGGTGACAAGAACACAATAAAATTAGTATAACCAGAGCATCGAGTTTCCTTTTGTTTCCCCTTCCTTTCCATCTCTATCTCTTCTACTATTACTTTACTATTGTTGCCACACCTTTTTTTCTAGGGTTTTCCTGGTGTTCAGCTGCTTCAGAAAAACAGTAGTACAGTACTGTACAAGAAGCCAATTAACTATATCTTTTACTTGCCAAAATAAATTTGACATAAGCAGTCATAGACAGTCACTCTAAATGGACAGCTTTAAGATAGTGAAGAACCAAAGTTGAATTGAGTAGATCCCCAGTACGTTCTAAAAGAGTGCATAGATAAAGTTTACAAAATTGATGGTTGTAAACCATAACAACAACGAGATGGTGCTATGAACAATGTTTCATGTATAAATTGTCATATATAACTACTGGTTGGCAGGAAATAGATGGATCAATTTGAAAAGAAAAACCATCTTCTATAAATATGTTATGAAATAACAGAGTAGAAAATGAGAGTGAAATATGACTATTCAACCTGTGCTGGCATTGGTGAAGGAGTACCATAAAGAGATATGTTAGAAGAACCACCACTTGAAGGTTGACTAGAAGGTCCACCAGAAAAAACTGCTACATGATTTCCAGGTGTATCTCTAAAGATGTTCCCTTGCATGCTTTTCAATTGCCTAGGGCTCATTTCTTCTGATCCCAAGGTCTTATTCAAAACTACAACATGATCCTCATTGGTAATTTGCAAGTTTGGGGTATTTGATCCAGGGTTCAAAAGTTGCTGCCAAATGCAAAGAGCTGCTGCTTCACTAAACACTCCATTTGCTTCTTCTGCAGCACCTGAAATGTAAATAGCAATGCCTTGACTACAGCATGAAAAGAATACATGAAAAATAAGCATAAAAGGACACCGAAAATGGAAAACAGATTCCTTAAGCTCTAGAAAGACAATTATCAGATCATATAAAGAGAGGATAACTAACACAACTATTACACTGAATTCTATATACAAATACCTTTTTATCAGCAACTCTTGGAATTTATTCAAAAGGAAAAGAACAGAAGTGCAGATGCCTGAATGCAAATAACATATTTAGTTTTTTCATCAAGAATTGAGCTAACCCTTTCCTTCTCCCTCCCCCACCCCTGGATCAGTGGGCTACTCCTGCCCAATAGAGCAAACCACTCTAATGGTATGCTCTACAAAGTAGATTTTGTCCATTAACACCTTCCTTAGCAAGTGAATCTGCCAGAGATTTAGCAGACCATACGACCTAGGAAAAGGCTGCACTGATGGAATTGGGCAAGCACACTAATGAATATGACAAGGACCAGAACTTCCATCGACCATCCTAATAATGGCTGTATTTTAATCTCCTTCAACAGCCAAATTTCTTTATTCTGGTGAGTTGCCAGTTCCAATCCTTCAAGTAGAGCCAAGATCTCAGTAACTGAGTTTCCAGTACCAATTGGGCCTGACAAAACTGCTAGTGTATCATCCCTATGACCTTTGAAGGAGCCACCAATACCTAAAGCACCTGTTATTCCAAAAATAGAGCCATAAAAATTTGGTACTATTTGCCACCGCATTCCATTCATAAAGCATATCATCTATGGTGAACATTGAGATATCCTCCATTGATTTAACCCAATGAATAACCCTTGCAGAAATACTTCCAATCCCAGCTTCTAATGATTACCATTTACCATAAAAAATAAAGAAATTTAGCATTTTCTTCCTCACAAACAGTCCATAAAATAGCTGCTCTTGTAGACGTCCAAAGGAGAAGAGTAATGACCAAAATAGAGTGGCTATGTCTTGTGGGAGAGTCCACCTGGTGCCAAAATGATAAATGAGATGTCCCCAAAACTAGCAACAAATCAACAGAGGATTAGTAAATTATAAGTGAATTCACAATTTGCTCTATATAAATAGCACATATGGGGTGATAGAGTCCAAGTATGCTTCTCCTCTGAAGGACATAACAAGTATCAATAAAAGTTGCTCACTGGATGAAATCATTGGATGTCTTTAGGCATTTCTCTCTTGATGATATTCTTAGTGGCAACTGGTTAAAAACTCTTCTTCATTGAAGGCTTTGTTTCCATGATATGGATTCTATCTATGACTGGTCAAATTAAACTAAATTTTGATGGTTGCAGACTCAGCAACTCTGGAAATTCTGGTATAGGGGATGTGTTCAGGGATGATAATGGAGATGTCACTAGCTTCTTCTTGGCGCCTATTGGCATGGGGAACTCCACAAGAGAAGAATTGTTGGCGGAACTCCAATGCCTAAAGATAGCAATGAACCATAACTATAGCAACCTAGTCTTGGAAGATGATTCGAAGGTGGTTGTGGGTTGGATTAGAAACAAGTGAGAAGGTCCATGGGAGCTTAGAAATCATATGAGGAAGGAATGGAGCTTATGTGAGGAAATGGTAGCTAATATCCAATCGGTTGAGAGATCAGAAAATGGTCTGGCAGATACTTTAACTAGGCAAGGAATGCACAAAAATCAGTTGTTTAGGGGGTTTATTGGCTAAGGGAAGGAAAATGCAGTGAGATAGGTAGGCAGTAGTCTGGGGCCTAGCCTAAGTATTTCTGTATATTGTATGTCGTATCACTATCATACATTCTTTGACATATTAATAAAATATCTTATTTGGTTGCTCATAAAAACTAAAAAATAAAAAAATACCATACAACTATCAATTTTCTGATGATACACCTCCTAAGAGAAAGCCATTATTTTTCAGGATGTGCATCCTCATCAAGTTGCTTTTAATCGAAAACTCTGTGAGGGTTTATGGGATTTAACAAGAGCCTTCAACAAAGAGGCACAAGAGAACTGTCCAAGGTGAACAAAGACCCATATTCTGCAGACTATCTTATTAGGGTCAAGAAAGACACCCTACATTAGTATCAATGAGTTAAACAACCTCTAAGGACACAATCCCTAAGACCTCTCGAAAACCAAAACCCAAAGAAACAAATGACAAGATTGGCCTTGACCTTGATCTGTGACTTACCAAAGGAAGAAAAGGAAAAGTTTTAACCCCTCATTCCAATTCTGAACAGAATGGCTCCAATTAAATTGAGGTTTTCCCATCATTGAAATTTAACAAATGAAACAAGAAGAAAGCTATCAGAATTTCAGACAGACAGCTTATCCTTAAAAATGAACAGTACAGCATTTGGATACATAGCCTACTAACAATCTCAGTAACTGACAGAGAAAAAAACTATAGAATTTTGGGCATGCTTTGCACTGACCTAATACACAAAGTTCCTCATATGCAGCCCATAGTAAGGGGTCCATTGACAATGCCCGCTTAAAGTGATCAACTGCACTTTTCCTTCTATCTGTGTACCTAAACAGACAAATAACAATGGACACAAAGCTGAAGCATTTATAATGTAATCAAAATAACATACAAGTGCATAATAAGTAATAACAACTGATATCTTGTTTCACAAAGTACTAAAATTCAGGAAGCATCTATCCAAATCACATTTTTTATCAGCAAAAAGTTGCTTTATTAAACTGATTATAAAAGAATTTAGTACAATTTGATTGCAAAAATGTCATCCCCAAATACACAAAAATAGATTACAAAGAAGCCGAGTAAAATGGACGCCTTGTGACCCCTTATTTTACTAGGGCGTCAGCAAGCCCATTTGCACTCCTGACCATAGACGGCAGCCTGGCCGTACAGGGGAACTTTGAGAAGATTTAAGTGGCTGACTTCAAATATTTCAGTCACAGTTATGGGAAAGAAGATCAACAAATGGGCTGGCAGACCTCCTAGCTTTATTGGGTATCATTGAAGAGATTGACAGAGCTGAAGAAATGGGTCCAATTTCTGAAGAGTTGAGGCTGAAAAGATCTCAAGCAAAAAACAGCATTGACAAATTGGTTGTGAAAGAGGAAATAAAGTGGAGACAAAGAGCTAAGACCACTTGGTTAAAGGAGGGTGATAAAAATACACATTTCTTTCACAAAATGGCAAATGCCCGAGCTAGAGTTTCATCTATTAATAAGTTGGTATGGGAAGATAGGAGCGGGGATTCAGATTCAGAGATCAAATCAGTTGCAACCTCCTTTTATAAAAAGCTCTACAAGGAAAACTGGATGTAAAGACCCTTCCCTTCTAATCTTCCTTTCAGGCAGCTGAATGAAAATCAGAAATTATGGCTTGAAAGATCTTTTACAGAATAGGAAACCAGTGCAGCAATTAATAAATTAGGAAATAAACCGCCTGGGCCGGATGGTCTCACCAACCTTTTCTATCTGAAATGCTGGAATTTTGTGAAAGAGGATTTGATGAAGGTGTTCTAGGAGTTTCATGCTAATGCCTCTTTGCAAAGAAGTTTGAATGTCACATTTATAAGCCTCATTCCAAAAATTGAGGGGGTTGTGAACATTAAGGACTTTAGGCCAATTACCTTACTGCACAGTTTTTACAAAATTTTGGCTAAAGTCTTAGCAGAAAGAATGAAAGGGGTGTTAGGCAGTATAATCTCAAATAATCAGAGTGCTTTTGTGCTTGGGAGGCAGATGGTAGACTCAATTTTAATTGCCAACGAGTTAATTGATTCTAGAAGAAGAGAGGGCACCCCGGGTGTAATTTGTAAACTTGATATTGAGAAAGCATATGACTTCATCAACTAGAATTGTCTGGATCATGTGTTGGATAGCATGAATTTTGGACAGAAGTGGAGAAACTGGATCAGAGTATGTATTAAGAACCCAGAATTTTCAATCCTAATTAATGAGCAATCCACGGGGTTTTTTGGTAGCTCTAGGGGTCTGAGGCAGGGAGATCCTCTGTCCCCTTTGTTGTTCATTTGTGTTATGGAAATCCTCACACTTTTTAGCAAGAAGGCTGCAGATTCTGGCTTATGGAATGGGTTTGCAATCTCCCCTGGAAAGGAGAAAGTCAATATCCTTTAATTTGCAGATGATACCCTATGTTTTGTGGATGCTTCTTTGACTCAATTGGATTCAATGCTTGGGATTCTGAGCTGGTTTGAAGTGGTGTCTAGTCTCAAAGTCAACTTGAGTAAAAGTAAGATCATCCCAGTGGGCCATGTTTCAAATTTAGAAGATTGTGCAAAAGTGATGGCTTGCCAAATTGATTTCCTCCCGGTAAAGTACTTGGGTCTACCTGTCGGGGCCGAATACTCTTCCTCCTCAATCTGGTGCTCAATCATTGAGAGAATGGAGAAGAAGCTAGCCTTTTGGAAGGAAAAATACCTATCTTTTGGTGGTAGGGTTACATTGATTAAGAGCACCCTCTCCAACCTCCCCACTTATTTCCTATCTCTTTTTCCCATCCCAAACAAAATTGTAAATAGGTTGGAAAAGCTCCAAAGGAACTTCTTATGGAGGGGTTGGGAGGATGAAAAGAAGATTCACATTGTAAAGTGGGAGCAAGTGTGCCTTCCTAAGGAAGTTGGTGGGTTGGGAATTAGGAAATTGAAAGAACTTAATTATGCTCTTCTCAGTAAATGGTTATGGAGATTTGCTTCTGAGAGGAATGCATGGTGGAGAAGTCTTATTGAGGCAAAGTATGACGTGGTATGGGGTGATTGGAGAACTAAGGAACCTTATCCAATTGGGGAAAAATCTCTTTGGGCAGGCATCTCAAAGTACATCCCTCTCTTCCTGAATGGGATCAGACTTATGGTTGGCAAGGGGGACAAAATCAAGTTTTGGAAGGATCCCTGGTGTTTAGAGGGTTCGTTGGCTGAAGCCTTTCCCCGTTTGTTCCAAATTGCAATGAATCAAGACTCTTCAGTTGCTAATAACATAAGCATCTCTGGTGATTCCACCATTTGAACTCCTCTGTGTAGGAGAAGTTTGTTGGATTGGGAAGTGGAAGAGTATGCGGTGCTGTTGGGGCTCCTTCAAAATCAGAGGATTGATTTGAGTTTAGAAGATGAATGGTCTTGGAAGTGGAATGCAGATGGTAGCTTCTCAGTTAAATCCCTATTTCTTAAGTTATGCAGTTCAGGTCAGGAGTAATTCCCTGCCAAGCAGATTTGGAATCCAACTAGTTCCTCCAAGATCAATTTCCTGGTCTGGACAATGGCTCTTGATAAATGTTTAACTAAGATTAACTTGGAAAGACGTGGTATTCAGATTCTGGATCCCTCCTGTGTTCTGTATGGAAACCTTGCAGAATCTACAGAAAACTTGTGTATCCATTGTCCGGTTTCCTCTTCAATTTGGGGACATTTTTTCAAGGTTTTGGAGATTAGCTAGTCTATGCCAAAATCTGTGAAGGAGCTGCTAATGTGTTGGAGAATTGAGGGTCTCAGTAAGAAAGGAAAACTTGTTTGGAATACCATTCCGCAAGTTGTGCTTTGGCCAATTTGGACTGAAAGAAATAACAAAATCTTCTGTGGTCAGCTCAAAAGCCCAAAATAAGTAGTGCAAAGAGCGGTGGGCAAGATTTGTTCCTAGGTGTCGGTGAATGAAGAACTTAAAAACCAGAATGTATCTCTTTTGTTTTGCACTAAATCATGGATGAACTTGTAATCTGTTTTGGGCCTAGGCAGAATTAGTGGTCTGGGCCTTGTTGTAATTTTCTCTTTATTCTGAATAAATTACCTTACCTTTTTCCAAAAAAAAAAAAATTCCTCCTAATGATGGGAGTCCAAGTAAGAGAACCACCAGTCGAACAGCAGTAGTCAGCCACGGAGGCTTCTTGGTTAGAAGCACACTGAAAAAGTAGAGGGAAAGACTCAGCTAGAGTCCCATCCAAACACCAAGGATCCTTCCAAAATTTTGTTCTATCCCCTTTACCAATCTTGATTGAAATCCCTTCCAAGAAAATAGATAAATTTTTCATGATAGCTTTCCAAGGGGAACTACCCCAACTTGGGGGAGGATCCCTAGATCTCTAGTTTCCCCACTCCACCCCATATTTATCAGCTATGAGGGATCTCCACCAGGCCTTTCTTTCAACCGAGAACCTCCAAATCCACTTGCTCCTAAGGAGGGCAGAATTAAAACTCAACTTCCTAATGCCTAAACCACCTTTGGACCTAGGAAGACATACTTGGTCCCAACTTACAAGGTGAACCTTTTTATCCTCATCCCAACCCCTCCAAAGAAAACATCTCTGAATATGCTCCAATCTTTTAGCCACTTTGTTAGGGATGGGGAAGAGAGAAAGGAAGTAAGTAGGTAAATTGGAAAGTGTGCTCTTTATCAGAATAATCCTACCCCCAAAAGAGAGATATCTTGCCTTCTAGGAAGCCAATTTCCTTTCCATTCTTTCAATAACTAGATCCCAAATCGAGAAGGCAAGACGATTTGCCCCCAAGGGCAGCCCCAGGTATTTCACTTGGAGGAATTCAATCTGACAAGCCAGAACCTCCGCACAATCAACTATGTTGAATACATGGCCCACTGGAATGATTTGGTTTTTGTTCCAGTTGACTTTCAGCCCAGAGATCACTTCAAACCAGGATAATATCCCAAGGACAATATCTAACTGGGAGGGAGAAGCATCCACAAAGCATAAGGTATCATCTGCAAATTGGAGAATATTGATCTTTTCCCCCTCAGGAGAGAATGCAAAGCCTTCCCAATCACCAGATTCAGCAGCCTTTTCACAAAACAAAGTGAGAATTTCCATAACACAAATAAAGAGCAAGGGGGATAAGGGATCACCTTGTCTTAGACCTCTAGAGCTGTCAAAAAACCCTGCTGACAGACCATTAATCAAAACTGAGAATTTGGGAGTGGATATACAAACTTTTATCCAGTTTCTCCATTTCTGCCCAAACTTCATATGCTGCAACACCAAATCAATACACCTCCAATTAACATGGTCATAGGCTTTCTCAATGTCCAGTTTGCAATTCAAACCAAGGGTACCCTCTCTTCTTGAGTGAATCAGCTCATTAGCAATAAGAACAGAATCAAGCATTTGCCTCCCCCAGGACAAAAGCACTTTTATTGTATGAAATTACATTCCCTAACACCCCTTTCATTCTCTCGGCTAATACTTTAGCTAAGATCTTATAAAAATTGTGCAAGAGACTGATTGGCCTGAAATCTTTAACATTAACCACCCCTTCAATTTTTGGAATGAGGGTGATAAAGGTAGTATTTAAACTTCTTTGAAGGGTAGCATTATCATAAAACGCCTGAAATACATTCAAAATATCTTGGTTCACAAAATCCCAACATTTGACATAAAAGAGGTTAGTAAGACCATCCGGCCCTGGCAACTTATCAGCCGCCAACATAGTAATGGCAGCTTTAATTTCCTCCTCCGTAAAGGGTCTCTCAATGAAAGAAATCCGATCATCACTCAACTACTTAAAAGGAAGGTCTCTAGGAAAGGGTCTGAAG